GTACGGAAGAGGGATTGTTCCACGTAACCTACAAAGAGGCAGGCGTAGCTTGGGCCCATGCGGGTACCCATGGCCACCCCCTTTGTCTGTAGGAAGTGGGAGGAATTGAAAGAGAAGTTGTTGAGTGTGAGGACGAGTTCGGCTAAGCGGATGAGGGTATCGGTGGAGGGGGACTGGTCGGGCCTGCGGGACAGGAAGAAGCGGAGGGCCTTAAGGCCATCTGCATGGGGAATGCAGGTGTAGAGGGACTGGACGTCCATGGTAAAGATGAGGTGTTGGGGACCGGGGAATTGGAAGTTCTGGAGGAGGTGGAGGGCGTGGGTGGTGTCACGGACATAGGTAGGGAGTTCCTGGACCAAGGGGGAGAAAATGGAGTCTAGATAGTTGGAGATCAGTTCGGTGGGGCAGGAGCAGGCGGAGACAATGGGTCGACCAGGGCATTCAGGTTTGTGGATTTTGGGAAGGAGATAGAAGCGGGCAGTGCGAGGTTGGGGAACGATGAGGTTGGAGGCCGTGGGTGGGAGGTCACCTGAGGTGATGAGGTTGTGGATAGTTTGTGAGATGATGGTTTGGTGCTCAGGGGTGGGGTCATGATCAAGGGGGCGGTAGGAGGAGGTGTCGGAGAGTTGGCGTCCGGCCTCGGCGATGTAGAGGTCAGTGCGCCATACTACAACTGCACCTCCCTTGTCCGCGGGTTTTATGGTGAAGTTGGGATTGGAGCGGAGGGCTGCACGTTCTGCAGGGGAGAGGTTGGAGTGGGTGAGAGGGGTGGAGAGGTTGAGGCGATTGATGTCTCGACGGCAGTTGGAGATGAAGAGGTCGAGGGAGGGTAGGAGGCCTTGGGGTGGTGTCCAGGAGGAGGGGGTGTGTTGGAAGCGGGAGAAGGGGTCAGTCGAGGGAGGGTTAGGTTCATGGTTAAAGAAGTAAGCGTGGAGGCGGAGGCGGCGGAAAAACTGCTCTATGTCCAAGCGTGAGCGGTATTCGTTGATCTGTGGGTAGAGGGGGACAAAGGTGAGCCCTTTACTGAGGACTGACCGTTCGTCCTCAGTAAGGGGTAGGTCTGGGGGGATGGTGAAGACTCGGCAGTTATTGTCCTGTTTTCTTTTGTCTAGCTTGGTAGCTAAGTGGCTGCTAGCATTCAAAGTGAGGGAGTGGGAGCAGTTTCATTGTGGTAATGTCAATGATCTAGCAATCCAGAACTCCAACCAAAGTTCTGGGGCCAAAGGTTCAAATCCCATTATGGCAGCTGATGAAATTTAAGTTCAGTTAAAATCTGGAATAAAAAAAAGCCTAACGACACCCATGTAACTGTTGTTGTAGAAACCCAACTGGTTCACTGATACCGTTTAGGGAAGGACGTATGCCAGCCTTACCTGGTCTGTCCGAGATGTCACTCCAGACTCACTACAATATGTTTGATTCTTAGCTGGTCTCTGCAGACAATTAAGAATCGAAAATAAATCGACAATTCTCAAAAAGCTTGAGACCATCCAGGACAAGCAGCCACACTCTCAAACATTCAGTCCCTCTACCACCATTGCGCAGTGTGTACCATCTTCAAGGTGTACTGTAGAAATTCACCAAGGCTTTTTAGACAGCACCTTTCAAGCCCATAGTTATTATCATCAAAAAGGACAAGGGCAACAGATATATGGGAGCACCAGCATCTCCCCTCCAAACTACTCAGCAACCAGACTTGGAAATATATCGATATTCCTTTAGTGTCACTAGGTCAAAACTGCCTCCCTATCAGCACTAAGAGTCTTCTGACACCAAATGGAATGCAGCGGTTCAAGAAGGCAAGTCACCATCACCTTCTCAAGGGCAATAAGGGATGAGCAATAAATACTTATCCAACTAGCAACGTCCACATCCCATAATTGAGTTTTTTTAAAAAATATGCTGACCTATCCAGTGATGCCCACTTCCTGTGAACAAATAAAAACGTCTCTTTACAACAAAGGAGGAACAAAGGGTTAATTCTTTGACTGTAACCTTCACAGAACGGTAATGCTTGAACCCACAACTAGTACACACAGGTACCTTGGCTCACTGACACACAAGAACCTCATTCCCACTACCCATCTCAGCACATTTGGCAATTTAATCCTTAGCTTCGTATATTCTTCAAAGGGAAACACATGAAATGTGTCTGTAGTCTGGGACGTAATCCCACAGAGTCTGGCTTGCTATCCCTCATTATCTTTGTTGCTACAAGAGTTCATGGCCAGTCTGTTTTGATTTGCCTCTCCCCCCTTTCACGGGCTGTTGTTTGAAGTTCCCTTTGCATCTTTAGATATGTCTTTCCATGACTCTCTCTCTGGATAACCATCTAATTAATGTCTACAGCCCATATTTGACTGTATCAGCCCTCATTTAAAAAGGACACATTTTTGAGGCTATAAGTTACATTTTACAAGTTTAAAAATGTCTTTTTTACTTTGGGCCATACTTTGTACTGGTTGGGCCATTGCTGGAGTTCTGTGCACAGTTCTGGTCACCACACTACAGGTAGGATGTAATTGCTCATGAGAGAGTACAGAGGAGATTCACGGGAATGTTACCAGGATTTGACAATTGTACCTGTGAGGAAGGAGTGGTTGGGTTAGGTTTGGTTTCCTTAGAACAGAGGAGGTTGACTGGTAATTTAGTTGAGGTAACTTAACAAAATAATGAGCAACTTGAATAGAGTGCACAAGGAAGATCTGTTATCCCTCACTGACAGCTCAATTG